ACTTTCTCTGGGGTCGTAAGTATTTGCATCAAGGGAACTCTAAGGTAGTGCGCCGGATTAGTCTCAATTTGGCATTTCGGTTTTAAAGACAATCCAAATCATGTGATTTCATGTTATGCCACTGAACCGATTTTTAGAATCAATTTCATAATGCAGACTTTTATTGACATACTGGTCTAGATAATTTATTTAACTTGCAATTGACAATTGACTTGTGGTGTTCTAATTTAAGGGAGCTCGGTTTACCGATTACTATGTTGTTGAAGGTGTACAACTTTTGGCCAATGTGATATCCAATTATCTGAGTGGGAACATCAGCAATGAGAAGTGGTTATATCAAATCAGGGGGGGCTGTGTCCAGTCATGAGGACATGTTAAACTTTAAGACAAAATTATGCCATACAACTGGTATTGCGTGGTCGGGTGGCAGGTCGGTTCAGCACAACAAGCTATGCTTAGTGCGAGCTCTGATTTCACAAATCTGCCCCTTCAACCATTCAGAATAAATTTATAAAAAAAAAATGGCAAGAGCAGTAACTTTTAAGAAGCTAATGGGAACTGGCCATTGGAGAGTGGTGCTAATTTCAAACTAAATTAATGGCTCAACAAAGACTCAGACTGGTATAATCTTCATTGTATCTCTTTCGTCACCCGTCAAAGATTGTAGTCACTGATGCCTTATGATTTTCAATTCTAAGATACCCCTTTTTAAGTGAAACCACACTGGTCCGAAACTGCGGTGCTAGCATCCCAGGCCAGATATGAGATCAGTTGTGACTTGAGACTGAGAGGTCAATGGTCATTAGCATTGAAATTCCATGTTCAATAGAAACGGATGAAACAACCTTGGATGCGACTGGGAATAGTCTGACTTGAATTGTTGTATGTTACTGATTTACCATCTGAATTCATTAATTTCAGCGTGTCCCTCCAAAACTTTGTAAGTATAGTTGTCAGTAGCTTTCACACCACGCATGACATGAGATGAATGTCCTCCTAGCTTGGGTGGCAATGACCCTTGACATATTGTAGTACCTGTTCGTTAGGGAATGACACTAGAAAGGTGACTGGGGTTGGTGCAATTTCCTCATAAGTCCCTGGTGCTTGTTCAATTGAATCTAACACCATCTGACTCAGCCATGGTCTTTTCTTTCTTTGAATTTCTAAGTTTTAGTGATACACGCTCAATCATAACACAATTAATTCTTCATTCCTGCCTTTAGCCTATAATTGTCTGCTAATCTGATTTGGTGGCATGCCTTGCAATGCAGAGTTTGAGTTCGACTGACATAGGTAACCAGTTTCTCCCTGAATTAGACCAGGGTTATAGGGTTGTTCACCAAAATTTCCTAAAATTTGGTCGTATGTGACTCTGCTCCCTCTTTCTCCCCTTTAACCACCCGCAATTGTGTCCGTCATTTTTCACTGAAGTCAGGATGGGTCAATAGTTGAATTAGGTATTCGTCCAGCTATCTTAACATATTAATTGTTTCTCTCAGCAGGTCCATATTCGTGTACTGCCCGCGGTTCAGCTGAGCTGAGGACTTCATGGGCCCGTGCTTTCTCCGATCCAGCGGCGGGGGGACCAGATCGCATTTGTGAGCTCCAAAGCATTCGCGTCATTGTCTTTCTCTGGTTTAATTTAGCATGAAGGTCGCTTTTGCCTACAGATATAAATGAAGTATTACACCTGGATATCTCACTCACTCACTCACCCTCTCTCTCTCTCTCTCTCTCTCTCTCTCTCTCTCTCTCTCTCTCTCTCTCTCTCTGTCTCTGTCTCTGTCTCTGTCTCTGTCTCTGTCTATGTCTATGTCTCACTCTCACTCTCACTCTCACTCTCACTCTCGATTATCTGTTCTAACTCACTGTCGCAGGTCTTAAGATTGAACCATATCGTTGAGTCTTTTAGGCAAACGGGATTTATCGAAATTGTACAATATTTGTAAATTAAGCAAACACAAAGGGACAGGTGATAACCGGCCTTTAATTGATTGTAATGAAAGCTCTGCGGTGACCTGACCCTGCTTCAGATCTGATCGGCGCCCATTCTGACTCATCGGTGATTTTGGCGACTCCTAGCGGATGTCGTCAAGGCTACGTTAGCTAGGTGGCGGTAGGGAGTCACGGGTTGGTCTGGATTGTCGAACTTGTACCAAAATATTTCATGTATGAGATCGATCTTTATAACTACTGATTTAGAAACTTCGACATCTTGCTCTCTTTCTCACATACATACCAACTCACGCCCCAATTTACTCATCCACTCCCGCACGCGTCCACTCATTCACTCATCACTCACTTAACTCTTTCTATCCTTGCCCGTGCCCGTCTGTCTCTTACGCATACTCGCATACGCGTCAGATTCAGGGTTATGTGGCGACCTCTCATGGCAGTTTTGGGAACCAGGGTGGCGTATTCCATGCTAGGTGGCACTGTTAGTATTGTCAGCTGCAGCTGAGCAGTGAGCACTGTCGGAGTCTGCACTGAAGGCATTGGATCTTGTAGGTGGCGCTAGTGGTGCTGTCGTCGGTGCGTCTTTATTCTACATGAAGGACATGAGCTGCGGTAATTTCTCGCTTCCCTCCGTAACCAACTAGACGTGTACAAGCAGGGTGACATTTGACATAGTCACGTCACATTGAACGGTAACTCGCTTGATGTTTATGATCAATTGCCTCAAATGATGCATCGATTTAACAACCGTAACATTTCTACGTTAATCTTTGATATACCTCGACGGGGGAGCTAGCATCAATATCAGTTAGGTACTGATAATGCTAGGAGAGAAAGGGGGATTGATTGACAGGTTACGAACAGCGATAAAATTTATAACGATTGAAATGGTGATTCAGATTTGTATCGGTTAGATGAACGCGAATCACGAAACGACTCAATGCTGATTTAATAACAACCCGGAAGGCAATTCAGACTTGTTCTGGCGCTGAGCTGCCGAAGGAGCAGAATAATGTTTGGTATTTACAATGTTTACTCTCCTTATCCGAATGTAACTGAACACGTCACGACTTCTTGGGCCGCCTTCGTATCAAACCTTATCCCCATGATTAATCTATGCCACGGATGTGACAATCCTACGCTGACCGTCGATTTATCTCGAATAGCACTTGTAAGAATTGAGAATCGATTGACAGACTTGGAATTAACACTAGATTAACAATGGATTGATACGCTGGCCTACCGAGTTCAAACTAGTTAGATTATGAAACAACTTATGCTGACCTACTAGCTTGGAACAAAAAAAAATGTATCTGTGATGGTCGCGTCGTGAGGGGTGATCATTGCATTTCCGTTGATTGATGATCAGACGGCCGTGGCGTAGTCTCATTCAACTCCGGTGAGCCTGTGGTGCTAGGCCGGCGTGAGGCCGTGTGATCGACGATGACGACTCAAAGATAATTACGTTAGCGGTCTCTGTGAATCCGAATCAGCAACCTATCTGAAGTAACCCTCCCTTCTTTCCCAGACAGATTGTTAAATTTTTCACGCTATATTTACAAACGGACGATACAATACTGGTCATTTTCAACCGGTGTACCACGATCGGTTGTCAGCTCGCCAATGACAACTTAACCTTAAATCTAATCCTAACGCCCTAACCGCAAAAAGATTATTTACAAAGCATCGCCAATTGAACTGTCATGACGTCATCTGACGTAGTTTGACGCGTCAATAGTGACCAGCGCCCCAAAAATGACACCATCTGGCCTGTTCCCCTCCCCTCTCATACTCATACTCATAATCCCACACCTCACTGCGCCGGACCGCGCGCGCGATGGCCGACGGATAGCGCTCCCCCCCAATACCAATGTAATGGTGAGCCATTAGCCTACACTGACTGTTACTGACCCGCCCCGGCTTCCCAATAACCCCTCTCCCTTCTATCCACAGACAAGGCCGGACCAGTCAGACCCATTAGTCTGCCTGCTCACCCTTACAGGCGCACCCCTGCCGCGCCGCTCGGTCGGGAGCGGAATATAGCGACCATCTCCCCTCCCCTTCCCTACCGAGTCACACTCCCACGACGTTAAATCCATTACCCTCTAATGGTGGCTCAGGTTAGACCCCAGGGAGTGGCATTTGAAATCCAGATCAGAGACATCCGATGGGTGAATGGGAGGTGAGTTGTCCATGACGGGGAGGCAGTCTTGATGAGGCGGACAGATGAGATGACTCACTTGACAGTTTGTTGATGGTTTGATGGTTGACACGTCGAGTCTCCGTCGCGGCAGCAGAGTCCCTCCGCTCCGGCAGGGGTGGGGTCGGCCAGCCTCAGACTGAGACGTGCCGGCCGACCCGCCGTCCAGATGAGCTCTCCCCCTCGTGGTCTGTCACCCGTGGTCTGATACCGCAGTCTGTTCCCCTCTCTCTTTCTGCATTGAGTTTTGTCCGCCTGTGATTTCCGGGCCGGAGATTCCGGGCGTCGCCAGGCCTCCCCGACCGGGGCAGAAAATTGGCGACATCCCGTCTCGCATCCGGAGTCGAGACTGTCACCCTCCGCCCTCCATTCCGCCGGAACGTGACGTCATCCTCACTTGCACGGCTCATCCGTCTCAGCTGTCTCCTGCCGGATGACGTTTTCACACTCGATTTTCGCCGGATGTCGGTCCCTGCCTGTGCCGGACGCGACGTTTTCGCACTAGCCAGCACCGGAGGGCAGGTGGTTCCGACTGCGCCGCGTTCGTCGGCGGTAGCTGCGCCGGCCCGGATGGGTGTGTTTGTACTCCACCCTTCGGCGAGCCTTTGATCTTCGCTTAATGGTGACCGGCCGACGAGTCGGGGATCGTTTGGTCGACCCCCTCCCCACGCCGGCTCAGCGCCGCGGCAGACAGTGCGATCGTCCTTACGTATAGAGTGTGAGAGATGTCTTTTTTATGTACGACAAAAAATGTTACAGCTTCCAGCTGTTACAGATGCATGGTGATGAGGGCGCTATGCGTTGCAAAGGGCGCCGGCTGGTCAGGAGGGCGCTGAACGCGAAGATGTCGCCGACAGGCGAGGAGGGCGCTAACAGGTCAGGAGAGCACTGCACGGTGATGAGGGCTGCGACAGATCTGGAGGACGCTGTCCGTGAAGAGGGTGCCGACAAGTCAGCAGGGCGCTGTATGGTGGTGAGAGCGCCGACAGGTCAGAAGGGCGCCGTGTGGTGAGGAGGATGCCATACGATGAGAAGGGCATTATACGAGTGAAGAGGGCGCTGACAGGCCAGGAGGATACTGTATAAAGAGGAGGTCGCGGACAGGTGAGGAAGGCGATGCACGGTCATGAGGGCGCCGACAGATCAGGAGGGCCCTCTACGGTGAAAAGGGCACCGACTTGTCAGGAGAGCGCTGAACGTAGAGGGCGTCGGTCTGGAGGGCTTTGTAATTTGTATGGTTTAGAGGCCGCTATACAGTGAGGAGGATGGCGACAGGTCAGGAGGACACTGTACGGTGAGGAGGGCGCTATAATACGATAAGGAGGGCGCTGACATGTGTGGACTTGTGAGGGCGAGACAGATAAGGAGGATGCTGTGTGATAATGCCCATGAGGGCGCCAATTGGTCTGCCCGGAGGGCTCCGAATGTGAAGAGGGCGCTGACAGGCCAGGAGAGCGCTGAAGGCCGAGAAGGGCGCCGAACAGACAGAAGGGCGCTAAAGGTGAGCCGAGGGCGCTAGATGGTCAGGAGATTGGGAGTGGATATCCGGCACTTCAGGATTGTGGGTGCATCTTCACCCACAAAGAGATATAAAATTGCATAGACTACTACATATCTATGTAGTAGTCTATGAAAATTGTAAACCTGGGCGCCAGTGCCGCATGTCACTGGCTGCGCCCCTGAGTCCTTTGTCTAGCGATTTTCGAAGTAGTACCTACCTACGTATCGCTCCGTAGCGCCTAGCGGCCTTGGGAGCTGCCGGTGACTACACGGCCTACGGGTCCCGATTCATGTGGGAATAACACCACAGGGCACCGCATCTTTTTCGAGATAAATGACCGTTCCGATGCGTGTCGCATTTTCCTGAGCATAACCTGGCGTTAACATAATATTAAGCGCCTGCAGGCCCCTCCTGCCTGCGGCTGACAGCTTTCTGACGAGCCACCTGGCGATCGCCAACTCAACCCTAATTACGGCGTTGTCCACTAGGTGGCGGGGTCATACGATCCAAGTTAGGACAAGGAATTCTCATAATTATTTTGTTAACATATTTTCCCCTTTTTAAAGTCATTTAACCCTCGCCCCGTTGGGGGGGGGGGGGCCATTTTGGCCCCCCCTGTGGTTTTTCCTGAATAGCAAGAAAACGGCGGCGCGCAGCGCCGCCAAATTTTCAGTACCTTTCCGGGCATCAATTTGACACCTTCACACCAAATTTCAAGTCTTAGGTCACCTTAGGTCAGGAGTTATTGAGGTCAAACTGAGGTCATGTTCGAGCAAAAATGAGCAAAAAACATGCAATCTTGAAACGCTCACCAAATCTACAGTTATCAAGCAATTTCAAAGTTCTTTATATATATGGTCTAATAGACAAAAAGCGGCGCTACAAAACTACCATCTCGGATTTTCAAAATTTTGGGTTTTTGACCCAAAAAAATTCAAAAAATTGATTTTTTTTTGAAAAACTAAAAAAAAAATCCAAAATTTTTCCGAATTTCGAAAAAACCGGAATATATGTGATAGTCCCTGCGCTCTTCTATATACATACCAAATTTCAGATCGATATCTCGTTTTTTGGGCCAAGTTATAGCGAAAAAACTGTTCAAAAATGATGACGTCAAATTTTTGAACTCCATTTTTAGCGATTTTAGACCTCGTACGGCAAAACAAAGACCACCATTGAACTCCCCGTGACGAGCTGCATCGATTCGATACCCATTTTATGCAAAAATATCAACTTTGAAATTTGACCTTATTTGACCTGACCTTGACCTGACCTTGACCTGACCTTGACCAAAACGTGACCTAAGCTGGTCCCAAAGGCTGCCTGACCCACATAATCGCATTTGTCATGTAAAATGGACCATAAAACATGTATCACACGACACTTTCATATTGTGACCCCCCAGTGACCTGACCTCAGTGACCTGACCTGGTATCAGTGACCTCAAGTAGCAAAATATGTGTTTGAAGAACATTTCCCCATCGATGATTTTCAATGAAATGCATTTTACTCGATTTTAGAACGCATTTCTTGAAATGCCTGTAAACGGTGAAAATTGGACCTTTGACCTGACCTGTGACGTCATCGGTTTGACCTAGGTCAATAAAATTGGGTCACAAGGTAGTTCCCTGATAGGGCTATCCAACACCGTTTGCCGCTTGTCGCTACGTTGCGTGGTTCTCGAGATCTTAGGGGGGGCCAAAATGGCCCCCCCCCCCAACGGGGCGCGTTGCTCGGCAGAGCCCAACGGGGCGCGGGTTAAAAGCGCTATTGCAGAAGTAATTTTTCGATTGGCAGCGATTGAAGCCGCCGCATCAGGGTCCAGATCGAGCCGGGGAGCGTATGCCCCGGTGACGTCACCGTAGTGTTGCAGATTTGTAACATTAGCGAGCCCGGACGATCTTACCTAACTTATACGGCCTTGGTTAGGTGAGCCTTCAGTAGGGGAGAGTGGGGTAATTTGGCCGGTGGTGTAAATTGGCCGCCCCCACCTGTACGAAAGCTGATAAAAGTGAATGAAATAACTTTAGTCTCTATTCATTTGTCATCGGCAGAACTAACTCGAGAACAAATGTCAAAACTTTCCCCCTCTTAGTTTTATTCAAAATTAATAAAACGTGGATTTCGTTAGAAAATGGTAACTTTCACTTCCGTTTAAAAATTTGTATAACATGTAGTATTTAGGCTATAAACGAATTCCAACATTATAGCGCCATTCTTGAGCGTGTTCAGCGGTTCCAAAAGCAATTTCATCTAGTTCTGTACAGCCATGACGACTTTATAGACAAAAATTTTCAGAATGGCAATGTGGGGTTATTTGGCCGGGACTAGCGGGGCAACTTGGCCGGTGCGCTCAGAGTCACTATGCTGGGACGGCCGAGTTATCATGGTCAATTATACCATAAAGGACATAATTCATGACCAACTTTGACTACCTTGATGCCATATTTCCTATTGGACAGCTGTAAGGGCATGTGACGTCATCAAAGTTTACCTAACGCTTTTTTGCTAATAAATACTTACAGAAAAAAGATACAGCAGCGCAAATGGTCTCATTGTGTTCAGCTCGTCAAGGCGCATCGAATGATATACATGATGACCTTGAACTCACGCAACCTTGAGGTCAAGCGACCTGAGGTAACGTGACCTGAAGCAAACCTTTGACCTTGACCTCTCGAGGTCAACACATACATGTTTCGATGCGGAATGACGAGAGGATTACGATGGTACTTTTAGTTGTGGCCTAGCTTGATTACTTCAAAAGCTATTCGTAAAAAACTGTCATCGCATCTAGAGCCGCTATTTTGACTATTTTCGACCCCTGTGACGGCTGAGTCAACCTCCAAAATGCTTCAAATGCGTCGTAGGACACGCGTCATTGCTGAATGTGAAGCTGACTCGCCTATAACAAAAATCATGGCCTCAAACTAACACCGGCCAAATTGCCCCACACCCCCGGCCAAATAACCCTGCTAGTGGGGTAATTTGGCCGCTTTGCAGACCTTTGTAATACGTCACAATTTCAATATAAGTAGTTACTCTATCATTTCAAGTTTACTGTCCACGAAAGTAAAATGTATGCCACACCTGTCAGCGTTGAGAAAATGCAGAAATGTGTTGTCGGTTTTTAGCTACATCGTTTTCTAAAAAAAGCGGCCAAATTACCCCACTCTCCCCTATACGTGCTTAATGCAGTGCGGTAACCGGCCCTTTGATACAACATGCAGTGATCGAGAAAAATCGGTATAAAATCAATACCGTTTGACCTTTTTCTGTCATTTCTTCTTGACAAGGATTAAAACATAAAAGATGAACGGGAAGAGATGATAGTAAAAGATATGCTGTAAAAAAGGAATAAAATAAAATAGTGTTGTAAAAGACACTGCGCTAAATAGATGTTATGTACTTCACAACATGCTTTTTAAAAGCGCCAGGAGCATCAGCAAAGAAATCTGCTTCTGGTGAGCTACGTAAAAAGGAGTTCGCCACGTGTGACAATCTCACAAACCTCGCTTCACAGTGTTCACACGTGGACAGGGTTCATAAAAAAGTTTGCTGGTGCGGACCGATCGGGTGGGTGCATGCATGCCGAAACTGCTGAGTAAGAGCCCGGAGTCATGACGTGAACCAAAGAGGTTTCGCATGAACATCAAATCGTGCTGGACTCTTCGGGATGATAGACGTGGCAGTCGGAAGTGGCTTAAGAGATCGGCATATGACAGCGATGAGATGTGTCGAGAGGACGTATGCGCACAAAGCCACATCAGAAACTTGTGCTGCACTCGATCCATCCGCACCGTGTGGGTTTCAGCCGCACCCGCCCATATCAATTTTCATATCAATTTCGCATCTTGCACAGAATATTGCCAACGAGAAAAATGTTAAAGATGTTCGGAATGATCGGAGATGACCAGTGCGTGTTTTGTAGGGTGTCCCAGAATTGATGGCGGTCTTCGAAAAGTTTGTTTACCTTAAGTTGAATATTTTGCAGTGATGTATTTTTCAAAAAATCATGTGCAGTGGCATGCGTGCTTATTGTTGCACGTGCTGACCTACTTTCTAGCATATAAAAACTCGTCGATGTCTCTATTAAGCATTTCTAAAAATCAATGACGCAAAGCCCTGAAGAGGGGGTGAGACTAAATGCTTACTTCGAAATCTAAGCTGTGTTGCGGCATTGGCGGTTATGTGCGGCGTGTATGCCGCATGATTAGTAAGCGGCGACCACTAAATTAAAGACTTAAACGCTCCAACCTGTTTTCAATGAATAACACTGCATACCAAAAATGCCAATCGCTCTCGTCATAAGATATTTAGATTTAAATAACTAATTTATCTGCATCATCATTTTGAACCAAATTAATGCTTTCAACTTAGTACTCACTCATTCCTTCCTTCGTTGGCTCCAATGTCCAAACAGTACTTCGATTGTCTGGAAATCGTATGCCAAATCCCGCACCTGTATACGACTGGTGCATATAAAGGCCGATGTAAGAATTTCAATAGGCTCTCGCATGCGATTTCCTGGCTACCCAAAAAGTCTGTTTCAGTCATGCTATCAAAACATGGTATGTCAGCCCTCTCACCAGCTTGTAGTGCCCCTGACCGTCACCGACTCCCTTCCCTCCTTAAAAGCCTAGTTTCCCTCCATCATCTCTACTAGATTTAGGTGATGCTCCGACAAATTCACAAACAAGACCGAACTTGTTCGGAGTTCGGACTGTGAGTTAGCCCTCGCCCTTTAGGGGAGGGGGGTCGAACGGACTCCCCTCAGTTTTTCGCAAATAACTCGCGTAAAAAGCGGCCGATCACGACGTAACTTTTAGTACCCTCGTGTTGATCAATTTTACACCTACCCTGAAAATTTCATGACCCTGACGCAAATAACCTTTGACCTGTGACCTACTTTTCGAGACCATGTTTGGCCGGAACCGCGATTCAACGTATGTCGGCTCGCATTAGCAGCGCGTTTGCAGTCTTTTCGTGGTTTCAAGCGTTCAAACATGTGATATGATGTTGCCCCCATGCATTAGGGTGGGTGTCAAGGTCACCTGAAGGTCAGGTCAGGTCATTGACCTTTGGTGACCTCGGTTCTTTTTTTCGAGTTTGACATGTTTCTAGGCCAGTTTTTTTCGAGCTGAATTCGAATTAAGCAGCCACATGAACGTTTACAAAGTAGTTTGGTGCCTTCGTAACATGTTACGAGGCTGTCAGAGGCGGTTGACACCTACTACAAATACCTGGCAGGACCACTACTGGTTGACCTGGCCTGACCTAACCCGACCTGGCCTAAATGAATGAAGACATCATCTGTGATCAAAACTAGCATGATATTCGTGATCAGCACCCCGAAAAACCCCATAGCAGCCACACTACGACGTTCTAACAGGTCCCAATTTTCCCGCCTTTTGGGTTATTGACCTGACCTGGAAGGTCAACCGATGACCTAGGACCTTAAAATTGGGTATCATCGGCTTTCTCTCGTCACGGGCAACACGCTCGTTTTTTCCGCGAAGCTCTAGCTTGATCAGGAGCGAAACGGCAAGGGGTTATACCTTATATTTTCGCGGCTGGAAAAACACCAATACGGGCGAGGGTCAAGTTGAAAGTATTAATTTGGTTCAAAACAATGATGTAGATAAGTTAGTTATTTAAATCTAAATATCCTATGACGAGAGCGATGGACATTTTTGGTATGCAGTGTTATCCATTGAAAACAGGTCAAAGCTATTGAGTTTTTAATTTAGTGGTCGCCACTTACTAATCATGCGGCATACACGCCGCACATAACCGCCAATGCCGCAACGCAGCTTAGATTTCGAAGTAAGCATTTAGTCTCACCCCTGAAGAGGTGTCCAGCATGCGCCGGGAGCACTCTTTGGCAGTGCGCTCCCGGGCCGTCGGCATGGTTATCGGCGGCATGAAGCCAGGGCAAGTCGCTCAAGACCTGGATATTCCAAAACGGTCGCTGGAACGCTGGCTTGCCCAGGGTTTATTGAGTGAAGGGTAGGACGAACTTTGGTAGGAATTTCTAGTATAACTACTAGAAAACCTACTATAAGTGGTCGGGACTAGCATAGTTCAAACTAGAATATGGTAGCGCTTATGGTTGGCAGTCGTGACGCGCACGTGACAATAATTTCTTAAATTTCTTAAATAACAGGTTTTAGGGGCGATTAGTGCGCAGATACATTCAATTAGCTATTAATAATTGATTACGCAAACATTCGAGATTCCACATCATTCAATTCTAGCCGAAATCACACGGCGCTCCCAGGATTCGAACTCACGACCCTCGGATCCGTAGCCCGGTACGCTACCGACTGCGCTACCGAGGACGGCGCGCCGACGATCGGAGAGGCGGATCGCGGGTGCTGGCGTGCAGAGAAATCTTTACCCTGTACGCCGTAGAAGATCGGCTGGGTTTCGTGAAAAATGGTAGAGGAATTGTCGAAAGAAAATTCATCGATCTATCATTTGAGACTAAGAACCATTGATTCCTTCAAAGTTTGACCGAGATATTGCTCGCCGAAAACAGGCCATTTAACATGTAAACCCTATGGGCTGGTAGGAAATGTACGCCGTGGAGCAGCAGTGCTACCAACTAACTTCGGCGGGGGCCGGGCTTGCCCTTCACCGTGCTGGCAAAGGGCTTGAGAACCAGGAAGGACGTGGTCGCAAGTCCACCATCACACGCGTCGCCAAAATCGTCATCGCGAAGTCCGCCTTCAAGCGGGGGTATTCAACCAGAAAACTGCCCAACAAGCTTTCACAGCGAGGTCATCCGGTATCAAAGTCCTCTGTACACCGTTATTTGAGGACCTGTCTTGGTCTCAAGCCTCTCAAGCCGCAACTGCAGCCTAAGCTGTCCCCAGAACAGAGGCGCCGCCGTCTGGAGCTCGCCAAACCATGCCAGGAAGACCATGCCATCAAACTCAGCTCACGCCGCGCCGGGAAGACCTGCGAGTGCGGCGACACCAAGGAAGGGTTCTGCTCCCCCTTCTCCCGCCGCGAGCTACAACACGCCCTCTCCAAGCTGAAGCCCGGAAAGAGCCCCGGCCCGGACATGGTGTCCAACGACATGCTCCGACAACTGAGCCCTACCGGCGAGACGGAGCTGCTCCGGGTCCTAAACCGTAGCTGGACCGAAGGCACGGTCCCCGCCAGCTGGCGCGCCGCAGAGATAGTCGCCATCCCCAAGAAGGGCAAGTCGCCGGCCCTCCCAAGCAGCTACCGGCCAATCAGCCTCCTCAACACCATCAGCAAGCTCGCCGAGAGACTGGTGCAGAACCGGCTCCAACACTGGCTGGAGCGACACAAGAAGCTGAACCCGAACCAGGCCGGCTTCCGCAAGGGACACAGCACGATCGACCAGCTCTTCCGAGTCACCCAATCGATCTTCGACGCCTTCGAACAACCGAAGCACCATCGCGCCATCCTAGTCTTGCTAGACTTCGCCAAGGCCTACGATCGTGTATGGCGGGACGGCCTGTTCCACAAGATGGAGAAGATGGGCATCCCTGGCTGCGCCACGCGGTGGGTGAAGGCCCTGCTCACGGACAGGCGTGCTCGGGTCAGGTGGGGAAACGCCCGCTCATCACAGCGCGTCTTCCAAGAGGGCCTCCCGCAGGGCAGCGTGATGGCGCCGCTACTGTGGCTGATCTATTGCAATGACCTCGATGAAGACATCAACACCAACACCACCCGCTCTCTCTACGCGGACGATACCGCCCTCCTGGCTACTGGACCTTCGCTGCAGGCGTGCGCCGACCAGCTGCAACCGGATCTGGACCAAGTCGCCCGCTGGCTGGACAAGTGGAAGGTCGAGGCCAGCCCAAGCAAGTGCGTCTTCACCACCTTCTCGCTACACGCCAAGGAGGTCAACGGAAAGGTCGTCCCGACACTGACCTTCAAAGGCGACCAGCTCGCGCACGAGAAGAACCCGACCTTCCTGGGGCTGACCCTGGACAGCCAGCTCACCTTCACCAACCACATCGAGGAAGTGAAGAAGAGGATGGCACAGCGCCGATGCTGTCTGACAGCTCTGGCGGGCAGGTCATACGGCTGTGACCAAGCCACGCTGCGCGCGGCCTACATCGCGTACATCCGCAGCGTGGCCGACTACGGAGCTGCCCTCTACTCCACCCACGCTGCACCCTCCGTGCGGGCCCGGCTCGAGGCAGAGCAGCACAAGTGCGCCAGAGTGATCACTGGCTGCATCCGCCTCACAAACTCGGAGACCCTCATCACCGAGGCCGGCCTGCCACCACTCGCAGTGAGAGGCTGGGAAATAGCAGCAATGGAGCAGGAGCGACTCGCCAGACTGCCGCCAGGAGACCCCGCCAGAGCCCTCACCGAGCGACACGTCCGCCCACGCCTCAAGCACAGGGCTCATGAGGCCTGGCAGCGAGCGCACACTGAGGCCAGAAGACGCGGCGAACCGCCGCCGGACCCCCCGAGCGAGGACACGGCGCTGCCCTTCAAACCGTGCTTCCGGCGGGTCAGTCAGTGGATGGCCAAGGAGGCGGGTCTAGCGGACCTCCCACGGGAACCGCTGGCCCTGGTCCCGGAACAGCCGCCGTGGACCAACCCAGCAGACGCGGTCACCTTCCGCCTCTCCCTCCCGCGCGTCACCAGAAGAGACGACCCACCCGCCGTGAGGAAAGCTGCCGCCCTCGAGGCCATAGCCATGGTCAACCCGGACTGCACCATCTGGTCCGACGGCTCCGCCAAGTCCGGCACCAGGGACGGAGGCGGCGGTGCGCTGATCCAGCTGCACCGGGAGAACCGCGAAGTGGAGACATTGGTACCGGCGGGCTCGGTCTGCAGCAGCATGCGGGCCGAACTCGCAGCGATGTTGGCGGCGTTCACCTGCCTGCTGGCACAACCGGGAGAGACCAGGAGCCGCATCAAGACATGCCTGCTGTGCACCGACTCCCTCTCCGGCCTTCAGTTACTCCAGCGCGGACCGGAGGCCCAGAAGCTGGTCCTCGCCGAGCGCGTCTGGGCCGCGATGGGCTCACTGGGGGAACAGAACACGGCCATCATCCTCCAGTGGGTCCCAGGCCATGCCGACATCGCCGGCAACGAGGCGGCAGACAGGCTGGCTAACCGTGCGGCGGCCGAGTGTGCCCAATCGGAGACGCCCATCGATCTGGCCAGCGCCCGAACCGCCATACGGCAGCGCGCCAGGGAAATGCAGGCCACGCGTGCACACCGGCACCCGCACCCCCAGCCCACGCCTGGACTCCAAGACCTCCCGCGCTGGGGGCAAGTGACCGTGTCGCAGCTGCGGACCGGCTACTGCCCCCTGGCACGAGCGACGCTCCACCGTCTGGAGCTCACCCCGGACCCTCTCTGCCGGGAGTGTGGTGCCGAGGACACCGTTCGCCACCTCCTCACCGAGTGCCCAGCATTCGCCACCACGAGACGCCGGCTCTGGGGGGACCCCTGCCATCCCTCGACGAGGTCCTCTCCGGGCCGGCCGGCAAGATAGTTGAATACATTCGGCGGGTGGGGCGGTCCGAGCCGCCGCTCGACCAGCCCCCGTCCGACGCGCCTGCGGGCGCGTCCACGTGACGTGCGACGAAGAAGAAGAAGCTCGCCAAACAGCACTCCAGCTGGACCATTGACGACTGGAGACGGGTCATTTTCAGCGACGAGTCGCCCTACCAGCTACACCACCCACCCAACCGCCAAAACGACCGAGTTTGGGCCCATGGCTCTTTTGACGTCATCCCAACGGAAACTGTCAAGCATCCGACCAAGGTCATGGTGTGGGGCGCGATGAGCTTCCGGGGGCTGTCTGATCTGCACGTGGTCCCCTGCGGCCAGACTGTCACCGCCAGCTACTACCAGGACAACATCCTCGAGACGGCCCTGAAGTCGGCGTTGAGCAGAACCCGTGAGAACGGCCCTCCGACAAAGGTCAAACTCCACCCTGACATGTCCAAGGTCATCTTCCAGCAAGACGGCGCCCCGGCTCACACCGCCGGCACGAGCCAGCCGTGGTGCGAGGAGCACCTCCCGGACTTCTGGCGGAAGGAGGTGTGGCCACCCAACAGCCCGGACCTGTCTCGCCGTCTCCTATCCTGTCTCCTATCGAAAACCTCTGGGCCATCGTCCAGAACAAGATGGACGAGATACCAGCTGCGACCTCCAGGGACGGCCTGGTAGACAGCCTCAAGCTCGCCTGGAGGAAGATCCCGCGCGAGACGCTGGACAACCTGATCAGTGGCATGCCAGAACGCATGCAGGCGTGTGTGAAGGAGAGGGGCGGATACATTGGTAAATAAACCGTGTCACCATGCCGACTGGTTTTTGCCACAGGGGCGATGATTTAGACCGCCATCAATTTTGGGACACCCTGTAAACGAGCTGTAGAAACAGCATCACATTTATTTGTACATTGCCCAAAAGTTGAGGCTTTTTGGGATGAAGTATGGAGAGCTTTAAAAGAGGAAACCGGTCATATAACAATATGGAGCAGGGAGCTATCTCCTCGTAAGATATTGTTTGGTGTTGATTCAGACAAACATTATGGTTTAACCTTCGCCCCAATGCAGTGGGGGGGGGGGGGCATATGTTACCACCCTGTCGCGTTTTTTGCGTGTGAATAAAAAACCGCGGCGCGTAGCGCCGCGCCGCTTGGGATAGCTTTTGGTACATCAATTTTGGACAATGTCTGAAATTCTTGACCCCAGGTCATGTCAGGTCAGGTCACCAGGTCAAGCTAACTGACCAAGCCTAAAAAAGTTTGCAATCATGTCCAGCCTGCAGTGTTTGTCAGAAAGGTTTCAAACTTGGTGGATTGCATGCTGTTATAGACGCCTACAATTTGTATATCTCTGATTTTTTATATCCATGACCTAAGGTCAGTTCAGTGGCGTGACCTTTCCATTACAAGTCAATGGAGAAAAATGAAAATGCCTCTAGATCCGTGTGTACGCATAGGAACAGTCCAAATATTTCAGAATCACAATGATTTAGGCCACTCGTGATTTTTGTCATTTTTGCTGATAGCCTCTAGAAAGGTCATCCGAGGTCATTTGAGGCTACAAACAGTTTTTTGCCAATAACTCGCGATTGGAAAGAGATAGAACGCTGGGGATGGTCTCATTGTGTTTTTCTTGTTGAGACGCATCGACTGATATGCAACATGACCTTTTCCGGTCAGGACCTTGACCTGAGGTCAAATTTTCAAGTTGACCTTTCAAGGTCAAATTATAGTTCATTCGACGCGTCTCGGCGAGGGGAACACGATTCTGGCAATAGAAATGTCGTGGCTTTTTGTAGTCGAGAGTTATTGTCGAAAAAAACCTTTTGTAAAAACAGCTATTTTTGGAGTTTTTGCCCTCTGGAGGCAAAAACCGTTGACCTGAGGTCAATATTGAGAATAACCTTTCAAAAGAAGAGTTCAAAAGCTATCGATTGCACTTCCATGCGTTTTTCTAGCTACCATAGTTCCTGAGATAGCGGCATATTTTCTGAAAAATATAATGACAATTGGCAAATTTTGACCTTTGATGACCTCTGGTCACCTCAATATTGCTCTAAGGTGAAAAATTACTGAAATACTTTCAACCGTACGCATTGAGAGCTATTAACTGCTTTTTACCGCGTCTTTCTAGCCCTCTTAGTTTTTGAGTTAGAGGTGGGTGGTAACATATGCCCCTTTCCCCCACTAGGGCGAAGTTGGCTGAGACCGCCACTGGGGCGAGGGTTGAACCTATTGCTATTACTGGTCAAATCTTTTATATGGAAACAAAGTAAAAAAGGAAATGATGTAACGGTGCGGTTGTTTTTGATTCATTTACAGACGTTTTTTAATGTGCAGGTAGGTGTACTCACCACTGTAGAATCTCACTCACCACGGTAGGTGTACTCACCACTGTAGAAATCACGTAGGTCTAGCTTATCGCGACGGATTTCTGCAGCCTCCCACACATGCATCAGCAGAAGAGGGAACTTGTCAGCTATGTAGTTGACCAGTCCACTCTTGGTGTTGTGCACAATGCGTCGTCCTTCTTCAGGTACCTCATCGAAGTGGTGCAGCTGCGTGAAGAGCATACTCATATGTTACGGCAATGTGTCAACTTAGGCAGCGTGCAAACTGCCCGGGTAGTATGCAAACTATTCAACACATTGGGCAGCATGCAATTATGCACACTGGCCAAAAACCTGGACAGTTTGCATGCTGCCCAGTTTGTCCGTTCAAGCTTCAAGCCTCACACTTATAGGACGCAGGTCGAACGAAATCCCCCCTCGGTTTTTCGCAAATAACTAAAATAAAAAATAAAATAATAACAAATAAAAATATAATAAAGGTAGGTGTAAAATTGATCAATGCGAGGGTACTGAAATTTTCGTCGCGATCGGCCGCTTTTTACGCGAGTTATTCGCGAAAAACCAAAAAAAAAAAACTACACATGCGAGGGTTAAAACTAAATTGATATATTTCGATATTGCACCGTCATCAGAATAATAATTCTTATTCTGATGACGGTGCAATATCGACATATATCAATTTAGTTTTAATTATATCAAATTGCAACATACAACATGAGCATAAGGTTATTCACTCTATTTACATTAAACCCGCGCCGGGCCGGTGCTCTGAGATTCCGCGCCGGGCCGGGGGGGGGGGTGTCTGAACACCCCCCCCTTCTAACTCGGCTCCTGGGCCACGTAGCGACACGCGGCAAGCGGCAATCGAAAGAACGTCCAAAATAAGGACGAAAACACTTCAGTCATTTTTTGGGTCAGGTCAAAGGTCAGGTCACCAGAGGTCACCAAAGGTAAAATGTTGACTATTTCAACATTTTGGAAACTGCCAACGGCTATCTCGGGAACCCATAGAGCTACAGCGCCGCGGAAAAGCGCATTCGATAGCCCTTTCACAGGCCTTTCTGATTAATGCCCTCAGGTTTGAGCTCAGGTCAACGGTTTAGCCTCCAGAGGGCAAAAACTCCAAAAATAGCCGTTTTAACGAAAAGCGTTTTTTCAGCGATACCTTTTGACTCAAAAGAGCCATGACATTACGTTTGGCAGCATCGTGTTCCTCTCGTCGAGACGCGTCGAATGAACTATAATTTGACCTTGAAAGGTCAACTTGAAAATTTGACCTCAGGTCAAGGTCATGACCTGACTGAAAAAGGTCATGTTGCATATCAGTCGATCCGCAACGTCGAGCCGAACACATCTCAGGCGTTTTCAGCGCTCTAGCACGCCTCTATCAGAAGTTATTAGCGAAAAACTGTTACTTGTTAGATTCTGTTCGTGACCTGAGATGACCTCGGGGACATAACGAGGGTTCACAGTTGTCATTTTCCGGTTCAGTGTGTCAATTTTACCTACATCTCGATGTTTGAGAGTGCCTAGAATGGCGTTCGTGCAAAACAGACGCTTTTCAATTTTCTCCCATTGACAATTACCAGTAAAACGCCTTTTGGGCGAAGAACGAGCGAGCGAGATAGTGAGCCCTGCACGTGCAGAAGGGCGAGAGGGTACTTCCAACGGGCTTGTGCAAAGCACCCTTCTAAACGGTCGCTAGCGGTGTACCAAATTTGAACGCAATCGGCCCAGCCGTTCCTGAGATCTGGAAGCGGCATTCTGCACGTGTGCACGTGCAAACGGGGTCCAAAATGACTTTTGCACGGCACCCTACTAACCGGTCCCCAACCGTGTACCAAATTTGAGCGCAATCGGCCCAGCCTTTCTCGAGATCTGGAAACGCCCCCTGCACGTGCGCACGTGCAGTAGCACCCTAACCGCAACACATGGGAATGCATTGCCTGGTGGGTGCCTACCTGTATGCCAAGTTTCAGCGAAATCGCCCCAGTAATTACCGAGTTATTGAAATGGGAACAAATTTGGCACCTCTTATTGTTGTATTTTGCACGTGCAGTGGGGGTCACTCACATAGATGAAGAGTATCCGACCTCTGGTAGAAGGGATGCAGCTACCCTATAACAATGACCGCAAGACAATCGCTCAAGCCGCTGCTGAGATATGGACCTCTCAAAATCATTACTTTTGCAAAACTGCTTGAACACCCTTGACTTTTCACGTGGCACGTGCCACGGCGGTCACTGAGATGTATCAAAAGTAGTCAATTACGGGGTAGAAGGGATGGGGCTACCCAGCAAAAAAGACCGCAGGCCATTCGGTCCAGCGGTTGCTGAGATATAAGCCTCTCAAAAGCGTTACAGGCCGGGCCGGGCCGGGCCGGGCCGGGCCGCTCATACTGGGATTTTTCCGTTATATTGAAAAGACTTCGCTTCGCTCGCTGCGCTCGCTCGCTCGTAATAATGGAGAGGCCGCAAAATTGACCTGACCTTAGGTCACCGTTATCAAAATTCCGAGATAACCATTTTATAGATACTGTTGTTCGTATCAATCGCTGAAATTTTCAAGGCAATCGATCAATCGGTGTAGCTATGACGAACATTCTTATTTTTTCTGAGGTGAGGTCACTTGGCGTGACCTGGTGACCTGACCTAAGGCGACCTGGGTCTGACATTTTCACAACATGTGCGTAAAAGATGCAACAACAGGTGTGCCAAAAACGCCGCCGTTTTTGAGATACCTGCAAGAACCTCAGGGGGGGGGGTTCAAACACCCCCGGCCCGGCGCGGGTTCATCATTCTCAGATTTCAGAAATACCACTTCTTACCTCCAAGAGGTTAAAAACGGCAATGTATTGGGCGAATCGGCTCACCTTAAATTAAAATCTAGTCTTATTTGTCGCAATGTCAAACACATCTGGTAAACACCTTGGCGATCTGGTAAAAACTATTGGAATTGCTCTCTTGCTCTCTAGCGCTGTCAGTTTATATTTTTGAAACGAATGTCTCCGGATTATGTGGTTTTAGCATATAACGAACAAAACTGCTATCCCAACTCCATTCCTCATGTTAGAATGAGGAATGGAGTTGGGATTCCTTTAATCTTTGGTGACCTCTAGCCCTCGCCCGCACATGCCATTTTCCCATCCTAGAACGCACATGGGGGGTGGGTGGTTGCCACCCCCCCGCGCCATTTCGTTCCTGTTGGAGATAGAGCTTAGCAGTAAAGACCAAAAAGATTCTTTGGGAAGAGACGAATCCAATGATACCCAGTTTTACCTTCTCAGGTCAGTCATTGACCTTCCAGGTCAGGTCAAACTAAAAAATGTTGCTGTTTTGGGTCACCGTTGGATATCAAGTGCGCTGCTTATCAAATACCGATGACGATGCTGTTTTCTGGTGCCAAGCCAGCTAGAACCTCTTTGTCACACTATCCGACCAGAATTTTG